TTGCCTGCAGCCTACCCGGAGCCCCCTCCCCCTGAGCCAACTTTTAGGGGCTCCTTCCTCCGGAGACCCCCTTTTTCCAGGAGCCCATCCCCAGGCTCCTCCGCATCCCGAACGCTCACCTCGCTGCCCACTAGCCAGGACCTCCGCACCCGCCCCTCGCCCACCGCAGCCGATTTGAAACTCCGCTCGGCCCGCCCCGGTCCTGTGCTCGCAGCTCATTGGTTACGCTTCCGCAGTTCCTCGGATTCGATTGGTCCCTTTCTCTCGCGACCGTAAATCCTGCTTTGGGATTGGCCCGGCCGCCCCGATTCATCGCTCCGGACCCCCGCCCGGCCGGCGGCCTGTGGCATCTCTGTCGCCCGCCAGGCTCCGCACCATCTCCCGGTCGCTGTGCCTCCGGTGGCCGCACCCTTTCCGCCCACTCCTTCCAGACCGCGCCGCAGTCAGGATGCTCGGTGGGATGCGGCAGGGGCGGGGGTCCGCGGCACCGAGGGGACCCCTCCTAACCAGCCACCCCGCGGGACTTCTCTCTCGCTTTTGTCAGAGCCACTGGTCTGGACTGCCGAGCGTTGGGATCCCGGGGAAGTTTTGTTTCAAATTCCCCGCCAGACCCTCCTCCTTCCTGAGAGAAGGCCCTGCCCCTCTTTGTGTTCTTCAAACTCACCATCCTATTCTTGCCCAAGAAAGCACATCTTGGAGGAAGGGACCGACAGAGTATACCACCCCACCTTCTTCCTCTCCAGGCCAGATCTTCAACCCTGTTTTGCCCCACCCAGCCTTCCTTCTTCCTCTTAGACTCCCATTAAGGAAAAAAAAAAAAAAAAAAAAAAAAAAAAAAAAAAAAAAAAAAAAAAAAAAAAAAAAAATCCTGATAGCTCTTCCCAATGCACCTGCTTTTATTTTATTGCTTAAGATTTTTATTCTTAATCATGTGTATGCGTGTGCATGAGGAGGAATGTGCACGTGAGTGCAGTGCTGGAGGAAGCCAGAAAAGGGAGTGGGATCCCCTGGAACTGGAGTTAGAGGCAGTTGTCAGCCACCCAACATGGGAGCTGGGATTTGAACTGTCCTCTACAGGAGGAGGAGCAGTGCCCGTTCTTAACCCCTGAGCCATCTCTCTAGTACCTGGTTTTGTTTTCTGTAGCCTTATGTAGCCCAGGATGGACTGGAACTTACCATCCTTCCACCTCAGACTCTCCAGTGCTGGGATCAGGCTCTGCCTCTCAGAGCAGCAGCCCTCCTCCTTTCCCCACCCTCGTCTAGGCCTGGTTTTGGGGAGGGGGCTCCTAGAGACTCTTCAGGCCTCTTCCTGGTGTCCGGATGGTCTGACTCGCTCCTTTAGCCTGCAGTGTTCACCATCTACCACTTGCGATGAGGATGAATTTGTATATCACCCTTCCAAGCACTTCGTGTGTATCCATGAACTCATTTCACCCCCACTGCTGCTTATAGCTTGATGAAGAAGCTGAGGTGTAGAAAGATTAGATTGGGCACAAATTTCACTCAGTGTGAGCGTATAGCAAGGCAAAGGATCTACATGCCACCAGTTCAGTAGCAGGGTTCATGTGGAACAGGGTCTGTCCCAAACTGCTACTCCTTAACCCTCAGATACCCAGCCTGGACCTCCTCCCTGACTCCTATAACCAACCACCTCCCAGATCCCATCACTTCCTGTGTGCAGCAGGCTCCTTAAACTGACAAGCCACAGTGGAAGCCACACTGGTCTCCTGGACATCATCTTCCATGTCCCCTCGCTCAGGTGAACCCAAACCTTACCAGTGGGAGCTTGTGATTGATTAAGCACTGTGCTAAAAGTAGGTTGGAGGGATCAACAAAATGGATGCATTTCTTACTCCCATGGGGTTCAAGTTCAGTGTGTGTAGAGAGATGAGAATTACTGGATCAAGTCTCCAATAATCAGTTAATTAGTTAATCACATGTTATCTAAAACTGGGACCTAGAGACCAGCTAGCTAGGCAGCTTATATTGTGTGCTTATGTTTATGTGATAGGCATCTGTGCAATTGTGTGTTTGTGATTTCCTTGTCCCAGTGCATCTCATGTTCAAGGTCACCAGCATTCTTTGTAAGAAACAGCACATATATGTGTGCAACCCAAAACAAAATGGTTTGTGATTGTGTGATGTACTCTGAGGTCTTATTTTCAATTTCATTTTGAAAGACTAGGCTTACCCTCCTGCTTTATTGTGCCCTGATGAGCAATGAGTGTGTGCTGTGGCCTGAAACCATTGCTCTCATGTCCTTGTTCATGTTGCCCCCCCCGAGCCTCACCCTGTTTACCAGGGGTCACAGTGCTGACTCTCAAACCTGTCTGTGCCAGTTGTATTTGTTATCATATTCAGGGAATACATGCAATGAATCAGAAGGAGGAAGAGAGTTATTGTCTCTACGAAAACTGAGTTCGAAGTGTGGGAATGACTCAGTGAAGACAAAACACTCAGGAACGAAAATCTCAAATAGAAATGCTTCTCTACAGTCATCTCCACAGTGCCTGCCGCAGTGCCTGGCATGTCATAGGCATCCATAATAATAGATTATATTTTTTGAGCCTTTACAACATTTCAGGCACTCAGCTAGGTGCATTGACTTTCTTCCTCTTTAATTCTCATGGCAGCACTAGGAAGTAGGGGCTATTTTTATTCCTATTACTGATGACGAAACTGAAGATACAGACAGGCAAAGTATCTTGTCCAAGATTTCAAGGAACATCTGGACTGGAGCTCAGATCCTGGATCTGTGACTATAACCCTGCATTTGTCACTTGGGTCATACATTCTTGCTAAGCACATGGAGTGTGAATATTTATGCATGGGTGCTTAGAGACTTCTCAATGCTTGCAGCTCTCCATCCTTTTGCCACTCAGAACCATAACCGGCAGGCCAGGTTAATGAAGAGGTCTCCATGGCAACAAAAGAAGGCAGAAGTATTTTCTTCTGGATGGGGTGCTGTTCTCTTCAGCCTTGAAGGAAAGTGGGAGAGAGGCCTCGTGCACATAGTGCTCCAAGATGAGGGGCAGGTGCTGAGCTTTCCTTGGGGGAGGAAAACACAGGCAGTGGCACTGGTGGGCCCAGCTCCACCTGCTGGGGAACCTGACAGAGGAGGAGAGCTCCAGCTGCCCCTCTCCTCCCAGCTTCTTTACCAACCATGAAGCTTTCCCCAGTTTCTTCCATCTCCTGGAACTATCGCATTCCATAGAAGAACTTGACAAACTGTTATTATGTGCAAAATGCCATGAACCTGAAGCACCAGGGGCTGTGGGAGATGTAAAGGGCATTGGAACCTCATTTGGGTTGGAGGTTGGGCAATTTTCCCAAGTATGTGGCATTCTGGCTGAGGTGCTGGAGACTGATGTTAGGAACATTCTAGGACTGGACAAAGGCTGAGAGAGAGAGAGAGAGAGAGAGAGAGAGAGAGAGAGAGAGAGAGTCTGTGTATTGGGGGAGGGAGACAGGGGTAGAGACTTGCAGGCCAGAACAGGAGGTTAGAATAGATCTGAAAGTGTGGAAAGTCAGCTTGTTTTGAAGAGAGGAGCATGTAATTGGAGTTACTTTCAAGAATGTCCTTGTGTAGATTGGTTTGGGGGCCAAGAAGTGCCTGGGATCAGTCTCGGGGTTGTGCCTGAAGAGTACTCAAACAGCAGTGAAGCCCAACCTCTGGCACCCACCTCAAAAGCCCCTTCCCTTTGCTATGTGCCTTTTGACCCCAGGGATGGTGCTTTCCACAGTGGGCTGGGCCTTTCTATATCAATTACCAATTGAGAAAATACCTCATAGACATACCCACAGGTCAGTCTGATGGAAGAAATTTCTCAGTTGAGGCTCCTTCTTCCCAAGTGACTCTTGTTTGTGTCAAGTTGACAAAAAACTGACACAGAGTACTTATAAAGCAACCTCCACGTGAGCATTTCCCAGGTCAGGGAGCACACCTGCAGGAGCTCAGGAGCAGCCCCTGGCCTTGGTAGTGTGTTCTTCCTCCCCCCACTACACAGTCATGGCAGGCATTCAGATTTTCCTGTTTCCTGGCTACTCATTTTTACCTCCTCAGCACACATGCCCCTCTAGGCTGCTGTGTGGCTGGAGAAAGACAGAAGAGAAGAGAGTCTTAACACTTTCATTGTTACTCTTGATCCAAGACTGAGATGGAGCCAGGCTATCAGGAAACAGGGGTGGTACTCAGGCAGGGCTTCCTGGAGGGTCAAGTTGAGGTCTTTGTCTCTGACCAATCGGACTAAGATTGTGATCCTTCAAGTCAAGGACTCCCCAAGGAGTCTTTTGAGGGTGCTGGATATCAGGGTCCCACTTAACTGCTGGAGAAGGAGAATCGAGGGGAGATGAACTTTCCCACTGCAGTGAGAAAATGGAGTTGAGGGGATTGGAGACACCCAAGGCCACAAGGTCATTAGATTCGAAGTGGGCAGCTCCAAGCCCAGTTCTTATGTCTTCCTATGGCAAGTTCAGTGTACCTTCTTTGGGTGACAAATCAGCATCCTTAAGGGACAACTCTGGGAGAAGGGCATGAGAACTTGATCTGGCCAAGAGGTGGCGACAAACACCAAGACTTCCCATTACATTTTCTCCTTTAGCCTCCAAAGGGGATCCCTGAGGCTCTACTAAGCTCTTTCTGGTTCCAAGGGCCCAGGGGTGAGGTCCCTCAAAGGGATGGGGAGAGTCTCACTCCTCAGCCAGATCTTAGAGTCAAGGCAGGAACCCAGTGCTGGGGACGCCTCAATTTCCTCAAAACTGTCTCAAACTTTTTCCTTAGTTTTCCCAAAGTCAGAAACATGCTGCCACTTCTTCCAGACTCCAGTGTCAGACCTAGGGGAGGGGAGGAGGGTTCATCCTCATGGAAAAAGACAGAGCCCGGGCAGGATCAGCACCCCAGGTTCAGGTAAAGAAACTTGGTTTTGGCTTTCCTTTACTTTCCCCTTTGGTAGCCCCCCCCCCCCAGGTTCTTGCCTCCCTCTTACCTGCCCCTTCAAAGAAATATCTGTTGACCTATTTTCTTGGAGTGGCACAAAAGTAAAGCCTGATGTAGTCACAGTGAGTTTTAGGCAGGGACTTTGTGTCAGCATGAGAAGTAGGTCCTGGGTTGGGTGGACGGTAAAGCTGCCTCCAGCATGACCCAGCTGAGCTGTCTTGCTCTTCTCCCATTACCTTCTTCCTGCTGGGAAATCCTCCTGAGTGTCAGCCACCTGACAACTCCCGCCCCCCTTTTCTAGTAGGATTATCTAGGTCTGGGTGTCAGTCACATGCCTGTCCCCACTCTGGTAGGATTATCTAAGCCTTGCCAGCCTCTCTTTCACCGGCAGCATGGACACTGCTCTACTCCTTAATGTGGAGGGCGTCAAGAAGACCATTCTACATGGGGGCACGGGGGAGCTCCCGAACTTCATCACTGGCTCCCGAGTGAGTGTCCTTTCCAATGGATAGAGGCCCTGTGGTCCCCTTCTTCATTTCAGCTATGCCCAGGAGCACTGCAACAGCTTTGCAGTACTCTGCCCAAACTCAGCCAGGCAGATCCTCACTGGAATAGCCTCATGTTGCCTTGTAGTTGGGACCCATTCTTGGCCCTTTTGGTAATTTGTAGGCCAAATTTTAGTGTGGGATAAGAGGAGGGACTTTGGGGAATTTTCTGGAGCCCCAAAATGTCAAGTGATCAAGGAGGGACCTCAGGAGTCGTTGCGTTTGTCCCTTCAGGTCTAGTGGGCCTCCCTGAGTGGGTAGACACATCTCTGGCCATATGGAGCTTATTAAAGAAAGACTTCCTGACACTTGGCTTTGAGAATGGGCATGGGGTCCTTTGGAGGGGAGTGGGTTCCTCATGGGGTGTGCAAGTACGGGGGTGCCCTTGGGGTCTGAGGCATCTTAGCTTATCAGGTGTGGGTGAGCTGACCCTAAGGACAGCACCAGGAGCCTATAACAGTTGGGTGGCTTCTGCTGGAACTTGGTAGAGGTGTCTACACCAGGGCCCTCTGTCTTGGACCAGGTGACTTTTCATTTCCGCACCATGAAGTGCGACGAGGAGTGCACGGTGATCGATGACAGCAGGCAGGTGGGCCAGGCCATGAGCATCATCATCGGAAACATGTTCAAGCTGGAGGTGTGGGAGACGCTGCTGTCATCCATGAGGCTTGGGGAGGTGGCTGAGTTCTGGTGTGACACCATTGTAAGTAGGCCAAATGGCCCCTTTCCTAAATCCATTCAAAACTGTTGGTAAATCCTGAATCCTCATTTCTCCTGTTATGAACACTGGGGTGGTCCATTGGAAAGAATATATCTTGAAGTGGCACGGAGTGCATGGCTGGCTAAAAGACTGTGGGAGATGTGGCCTTGCCTGGTAGGGGAGCTCCTGCTCCCCTCATTGCCCTCACTTTTGCTCAGCATTGTTGATCCTGGAGACTTGTGGCCATTGGCTATATTTTTTTGCCCTTCCCCTACCCTTACCAATTCTGATTTATATCACCCATAAACCACCCCTGGTAAGTTACACTCCCTTGTTCTGTGGTTCAGGTAGACAAACATTTCATACAGAAGCTTCACGGGTGCACTTACCTACATGCAGGCATAACACTCATATACATAAAAAATATATTTAAGAAACTTCAATACATTAAAGTCAACAAAAAGTGTAATGAATTTCAAATTCTGCCACCCCAGGCCAACCTCCACCAACCCACAACTATCTTTCATCATCCTCCTTGAAGGCTCTTTTTTTCCTCATCCCACATGGTGTGGGCAAGTGCCAGACACTCTGCCATTTCATCTGGGAATGCTAGAATTTATGACTCTAAAATGAGAGGACATTTAAAAAACACAACCACAATATCATTATTAAAACTTCAAAAACCTCAAATAATTCCTCGTGCCCTCTAATCACCCACCACAGTTAGGATTCTCTGATCAATTCATTTATTTTGTGAAAAAATATTTATTTTTATTTTATTTTTTTGATTTATTTATTTATTTATTTATTTATTTATTTATTTATTTTTTATTGGTCTTTTTGAGACGTGGTCTCCCTTTAGCCCCAGCTGTCCTGGAACTTACTATGTAGACCAGGCTGGCTTTGAACTCACAGAGATCTGCCTGCCTCTGCCTCCCAAGTGCTGGGATTAAAGGCGTGTGTCACCACGCCCAGCTGATACATTTATTTTTATTTTATGTGTATGAGTGTTTTACCTGCAAGTATGTAAGTGCATCTGTGTGGGGCAATACCCAAAGAGGCCAGAAGAGAGTGCCATATCCCCTGGAACTGGACTTATAGGCAGTTGTTAGCCACTATGTGGGTTCTGGGAACCAAGCCAGTGCTCTTAACTGCTGAGCCATCTCTCTAACCCCCACTTTTTATTTTTAGTTTAGTGTGTTTGTGTGTGTATGTGTGTGTATGTGTGCGTGCGTGTGTGTGTGTGTGTGTGTGTCTGTCTGTCTGTCTGTCTGTGTCTATCTGTGTGTCCATATGACTCTGTGCACATGGTTTCAGGTGCCCTTGGAGGCCAGAAGAGGGTGTTAGACTCCCTGGAGCTGGAGTTACAGGCAGTTGTGAGCCACGTGATGGGGGTGCTGGAATAGGACTCCAGTTTTCTGCAACAGTAACAAGCACTCTTAACAGCTGAGCCAGCTCTCTGGCCCCCTCATTTATTTGTTATAAACAATGAGGTTGGTGTGTTCAGGCAGGATCCAAAATCAATGGATTTTGTCAGTGTGGCTCTGGGTCTTCTTCAGTCCCTGGTGTTTCCTGCTTCTTTGAGATGTGGAGGTGTTGAAGGAACTGTGCTGTGCTGGAGAGCTGTGTATTTGGATTCTGCTGGTTGCTTTGGCATGCAACTGTCCAATATGTTTTTTTATTCTCCATATTTAAAAATATTTTGTTTATTATTTTTATTTTATGTGTATGAGTATTTTGCCTGCATGTATGTAAGTGCACTCGTGTCGTGTAATGCCTGGAGAGATCAGAAGAGGGTGTCAGATCCCCTGGAACTATAGTTAATGGATGGTTGTTAGCTGCCCTGTGCATGCTGGGAACTGAACCTGGGTCCTCTGCAGAAGGAGCCAGTGCTCTTAACCCCCGAGCCATCTCTGTAGCCCCTACTCCCTGTGTTTTTGGTAAGTGGGAGTTTAATCTAGAGGGCTTGAAAAGATTTAGATTTTCTTTCACCTTGACCCCACCTTTCTTTTAAAAACAGGATTTGATCTAGTCCAAACTGACCTCAAACTTACTATGTACGCAAGGATGACCTTGAATTTTTGATGATCTTGCTTCTACCTCCCAGATGCTAGGAAAACAGACATGCACCATCATTGGGGATCAAACCCAGTGGCTTCATGCATGCTAGGCAAGTACTCTACCCACTGAGCCACATTGCTGGTCTTTGTTTTAATGTCATGAATGGCACTGTGTACTTCTCACTGGAAGCTGTGCCTGCTTGTCTTATGTGAGACTGAGATTGATGAGCAGATTCAGGTGTTGACAAGCTGAGCCGACCACCACTAAGCTCCTCTGGATTTTCACCAGAAACCATGGATACACACTCTTTATTTCATGGGCTGGCTAATGGCCTTTTGAAAGAGCACTTCAGAAGAGAGGCCTGTACTTGGGCTGTTCTGTTAGTACAGTGGCTTGGGGAGCCTCTTTTTCCTTTTGCTACTCTACTTCATCTATAAATGAACAAAAGCCCATGTTCAGGGTTGTTCGGGACTCACAAGCTGTGATATAAACGAGGATAAATCATAGTGTATAGAAGGCACTGAAATGTAGCACTATTACTTTGAGCTAGAAGAACGTTAAAGATTAACTCCATCTTACTAATGAACCTTACTCAGAGACAGAAAGTAACTTGCCCTGAGTTCAATGAGTTGCGACCCCCTGGTCTTCTGCTTATTGGGAGAGGCCCAATATGTTTCTTGTTAGAATCTAATAGAGTCCTCTACCACCAGGGAATGCCATCTAACTCATTACTCTGGTGCTGCATAGCAAACAGGAGCTGAGGATCTTTTCTTTGTAAGAGTCCCTGGGTTATTTATGCCCTTTAACTTTAAAAAATGTTGTATTTTCATCAGTTCATGACATCGTCGAGTTGGCTCATTCTATCATTTCAGTTGGTTTAGAATCATTTCTATTGCCTTTGTACTCAATGAGGTGTCCCTGAGTTCATGAGACCTGTGCATACCTTTACTGCAGGGCTCATGTTTGACAAGGCTTTGTCACCAGCAAGAAACCCTCTCTTCCCCAGGGTGCATATTTGCTAACACAGAGGGGCTGTGTGCACAGAAGGCTGTCAATATACTCTTGATTAGTTGATTGATTTGTTGTTCGTAAAGCCACAAGCTGCTGAGGCTCCCAAGAGGTGGGTGTAGCTCTGTACCCTGTGGCTCCGTGCCACGTGGTTCTGTGTTCTTTTGGTAACATCAGTAATTATGAATGTGCTTCCCCCTCATAGGTTGGTAACTTTTAGAGCGTAATAACTGTTGATTTTCCCAACGCCCATGGCTGCCATGTGCATGTGCCTGCAAACAACCACACACACACACACACACACACACACACACACAAGTATGCACATGCATGAACTACTCATCCACCTACACAGCCACACTTTATCATCTATGTATCCATCCATCTTCCCAGGTCTCAGTTTAACCAATGTTCATGCATAATCCCGTGTTCTTTGTCTGTACACATGTGCACATGTTTGTATGTGTGAGTGTGGGTACAAGTGTGCCGTGGTGTACATGTGGAGGTCAGAGATCAACCTCAGGTGTTTGTTCTCACCTTTCACCTCATTTGAGATGGTGTCTCTTGTTGCTCAAAGCTGAGTATACCAGGCTGTCCCATGAGCTCCTGGCAGTTCTCCTGTCTCTGCCTCCCATCTCACAGTAGAGCTCTGCAATTACAGATGTGCTACCACATCCAGCTTTGTGTGGGTTCTGGGGACTCAAACTCAGATCCTCACACTTGTGCAGCAAACATTTCATCCAGTGAGCCATCTCCCCAGTCCCCATAATCCAATTTTCATCAATTTATCTATCTACTTATCTATCTATATCTATCTATCTATCTATCTATCTATCTATCTATCTATCTATCTATCTATCTATCATCTATCTATCAATCATCTTATCTATCTATCTACCTACCTATCATCTATCTATCTATCTATCTATCTATCTATCTATCTATCTATATCTATCTATCTACTTACCTATCATCTATCTATCATCTATCTACCTATCTATCATCTATCTATATCTATCTATCTATCATCTATCTATCATCTATCTATCTATCATCTATCATCTAGCTATCATTATCCATCCATCTATCTATCTATCTATCTATCTAATCTATCTCCCTACCTATCTATCATCTATCTATATCTATCTATCATCTATCTCTATCTATCTATCTATCTATCTATCTATCTATCATCTATCTATCTATCTATCTATCTATCTATCTTCTCTCTATCATCTATCTATCCTCTATCTATCCTCTATCTATCTATCATCTATCTATCTATCTATCATCTATCATCTAACTCTCATTATCCGTCCATCCATCATCTATCTATCTATCTATCTATCTATCAATCATCTATCTATCTATCATATCTATCTATCTATCTATCTATCTATCTATCATCTATCACCGTCATCAATCATTTATCATCTATATCTATCTATCTATCATCTATCTATCTATCTATCATCTATCTATCTACCTATCATCTGTCTATCATCTATCCCTCCATCCATCTATTAACCCATCATTCATCCACCTATCATCTATCATCTGACTATTATCTCTGTCTCCCTCCTCCCTCCTCTCCTTTCCTCATAATATGAAGCCTTCACTGGGCACCTGATTTGGCCTGTTCTGGGTGGCAGGAATGATGCAGTTGGTCTTCAACCATGGAGGAACTGATTTCTGAAAGAAGAGCAAACATTTAGCTATAGTGCAGGTGGCCAGGGCACAGTGTGAATGAGCAAGGACGGAACACTGTGCATGAGGGTTTTGCCTGTAGTATTATGTGCATCATGTGCATGCAGTACCTGCAGAGGCCAGAAGAGGATGTCAGGTCCCTTGGAACTGGAATTACAGGTGGTTGAGAGCTGTCATGTGAGTGCTGGGAACTGAATCCAGGTCCTCTGCAAGAGCAGCAAGTGCTCTTAAGCATTGAACCATCACTCCAGTTCCTTGGGGGAAGGTGACATTGAGCTGAATCTTGAAGCATGAACAGGAGTTCACAGGGCCTACAAAGTCTGTGTGTGTGTGTGTGTGTGTGTGTGTGTGTGTGTGTGTGTGTGTGTGTGTGTTGAATCCAGGGGCCAGGCCATGTGAAAAGGCTTTCAGTGCTACATTTTGATAGCCCATTCTCTATGAGTCGACTCCATTCAGGAATCAGAATTTTAGACAGACTAGGCCATCAGGCAGAGGAAGACTTTTCCTACCAGTCACTGTATGTGACTCCATGGACAGTCTTTGCTGGGCTACCTTGTGCAGGAACATGGACTAACTCCTCCCTTCCTCTCTCCTTCCCTCCCTCATACAGAGGGACAGGGTGGGTGAGGGCTTCTGGCCCTAGGATGGCCCTCCTTCTGCCCCCAGTGGACACTGATCTCCACTTAGAGCCTGTTGCTTGTGTCCAGTCTTGTGATGTCAGGAAAGCAAATTCTTATTCCACAAGGGCCTAAGCCCAGGTTGCCCCATGGGCAGGGCAGCTGCTTCTCACTCAAGGGACCAGGTCCCCAGGACACTTGGGATCAGGATTCCAACACACCTCTGCACTTACCTGTGAATGCTCCTGATATTTAAAAACTGGCAACTAACTTCAAAACAAACCCCAGAAACGAGCACACCATGAAGGACAGGCAGAGTCAAGCTGGGAGTCAGACATGGCCTGTGACACCCACCACAAGTGGCAACCCTTAGTGCAGACAGGGCCTCAGGTAGCACCAGAGCAAAGAGGGAAATGTGGTGCTGGGCTCCTCACATGGGTACACAGCCACAGTGGACTGAGTCCTCAGATGTCTAGAGCCTTGTGGGTGACTGCGGCTGTCCCTGGGACCTATCAGGAGGGTGCGAGGGTGGGTATGGGCCTAGGATCCATACTTCCTCTCTGGAAGGTGCTTCTGGGAGACAGAAGACTTGTCCTGTCTCCAACTCTGACTCCTCCTGATTCCATCCTGCTCCTGGTGTCATCCCACAGCCTGTGATACAGACTGGGCCTGTCAGGGTGACAGGTGTCTAATAGAGTACAGCCTTTGTCTGAGGTTCTGCCCAAACTGCTACCTGGCCTGGGTCCATGTCTCCACTCACTGCTGGAAGCAGGGGGCTGCTGAGTCAGAGTTGAGTGGGGACCCTCCCGAAGCAAGCTGTTGGTATGGATGTTCCCTCCCTTAGCCCAGTCTTAATACCACAGGCACCTGCCATCTGGCCTTGTCTTTTAGAAGGCAGCTCAGGGCATCTGGGCTAATCTAGGCTTCAGTGGGTGGGGAGGGTGACCTTCAGCCCTCAGCTTCTGTCCTCTCAGCCAGCACCAGGCAGGATTGGAACTGCTTGAGAGGGAGGGAGCTGGGTCACTTCACCTCTGGGAGAGGGACTCTAAGGTTCTAGACCAGTGAGGGTCAGCTCCCAGTACTGTGTGTGGTTGTGACTGGCCAACCATATCTATAATGAATCATTTGTTCCCACAACATTCCCAACTCTGGATACACAGGATTCTGGACTGAACAGCCCGGGGACCTAGGATCCAGGGACTGTGGTGAGCTGGGCTTGCTGTTAATTAGCCTAGTGGTTTATCTCAGAAGTAAGACCCCATTCCTTCCACTGATGCATGCTGGGAGCCTTGGGCTTGTGGGGCTCAAGAGTTCCCTGTGGCAGAGATTTGTTATGCTGACAAGCAAGAGGCAGCATGTGGCTAAAAGCATAGCCTGGGAAGAGGGGTTTTAATCCTGCCTGTGCCATAGCTAGCTGTGCAGCCTTGAGCAAGTTGCTTAACCTCTCTGGCCTCCAGTTTTCTTACCTGTAACACAGTGATGATTGGATGTGCTGATGGGTGTAAAGTGGTTGGTGTCACACTGTGGAGAACAGTTGTCCCTGATGGGTGTCATTGGACAACAAAATTCTCTTGTAAGGGACAGAGTGCAGATTGTGTGTGGCCTAGCTAGCTCTGATCACACAGCCTAGACCCTGGCCCTCTTCTCCCACAGCACACGGGACTCTACCCCATGCTATCCCGAAGCCTACGGCAGGTAGCTGAGGGCAAGGACCCCACAGACTGGCATGTGCACACATGCGGGCTGGCCAACATGTTTGCGTACCACACGCTGGGTTACGAGGATCTGGACGAACTGCAGAAGGAGCCTCAGCCACTGATCTTTCTGATAGAACTTCTGCAGGTGGGCCTCTGGGGCAGAAGGGACTGGACAGGTCACCCCACAGGGCTTCCCATCCTACCCCACTGCATGTGGTTCTGTTTCTCCTTAGAAAAGAAGAGGGTGTCCAGAAACTGCAGCAGAATTGGACATTGCAAAAACAGTGCCCCCCCCCAAAAGAAAAAGCTTATTTGGAACCAGTGTGTGAAAAGTATGATTTGTTTTCATTTTGGATGCATTTTTATTCAGTTGGTCTATTTGTGCTTTTAAACATGTAGGGTTGCAGGTCCTTGGTCCCTGTGGTTTGTGGGTTTGGACTTTTCTGGACCAGTGGGAGGGCTTGCATAGAGCTAACCATATCTATCCTCTCAGCCAAACCCCAGAGTGGTTAGCCCCTTTGTGGGCTTGTGGGAGAGTCAGGCCCAGGGTCAAGTCCAGGTCAGAACTCAGCCTATGGCCAAGGCTGAGGCTCAACCTGGGAGTAGTTGTGTGGTCTGTGCACTGCACAAAAGCAGCCCTCAAGGGTGCTCTTTGTAGACATTACACATTTGTGTTTTTATGATGACAAATTTCCAGCAGACGGCAACAAAATGAGTATTCATGACAATTTTCTGACTACTGTCTCAAAGAAAGGGTTCCTTTTTGGAACTGGCTCAAAGGCACTGACTTAGAGCAAGGGTGGGCCTGTTGCCTCCTTTCCCTGTCTGACTTTCCCCAACACTCAGGTGGAGCCTCACTGTGGGACTGTGAGAGTCAGCAAGCCTGACTCTCAGGTGGAGCCTCACTGTGGGACAGGGGAGCTGACCTCAGATACTGGCACCACCTTGCCTGGTCCCCCACCTGGCTGACTCGCAGCTTCTGGGCCAGGTGGAGGCTCCTAGCGAGTACCAGAGGGAAACATGGAGCCTGAACAATGAGGAGAGGATGCAGGCTGTGCCCATCCTTCACGGAGAAGGAAACCGACTCTTCAAGCTGGGCCGCTATGACCAGGCCGCCACCAAATACCAGGAGGCCATCGCGTGCCTGAGGAACCTGCAGACCAAGGTTTGGGGGCCGCCTCTGGCCTGGTGTGCTGGGGTGGGGTAGGGAGTGGCCGGGCCAGTCTATGGCTGAGCGTCTGCCCTGCAGGAGAAGCCCTGGGAGGTGCAATGGTTGAAGCAAGAGAAGATGATCAACACCCTGATTCTCAACTACTGCCAGTGCCTGTTGAAGAAGGAGGAGTTCTACGAGGTGCTGGAGCACACTAGCGACATCCTGCGCCACCACCCAGGTGCACCGGCAGGGGCAGGGTGTGTGGGAAGGGGGTGGGGCAGCCAGGGCCACAGCTACCTCAAGACCTGAGTGAACGGTTCCGGTCCTTGAAATACTTAAGCAAAGCTTGTCTCCACTCAGCACGGCTCCCCCCGCACCCCGCCCCGTGTGCCTCTTTGGGAGGTGCTTGTGTGGTGGGCGGTGCTTGTTGTGGGAGGTGTTTGTGTGTTTGTTTCAGTCAGGGTCTGGCCATGTTGCCCAGGCTGGCCGGGAACTTGTGATCCTCCTGCTTCAGCCTCCATAACACTGGGATTTACAGGTATGTACCACCATACCCGGCTTTGGGGAGGTGCTTTTAAATTTGCTTATATACTTTTTTTCAAATATTCATGTGGTCTCCTGTTCCACAGTTTGGTGGATTAGCAGCCAGGCTTATTTAAAGGAGGCCAGCAATGTAGACAAAAATATGACGTCTCCACTGGTACTGGCCCATGACTGTTTGCGAAGGCAGTTGACTGATGCTAATAGTAACCACTACTGGCTCCAGGTGCTAAGGCCTCCGCTTTATTAGCTCACAGTCACGGGGTTGGGCAGGTGCAGGGACAGAGTCTGATGATGACACAGCCTGGGAGTCTCATCTGGAACAGAATACCAAATTCTTGAAGTTGGTCACAAGGGCCTCGAGGGGTCTTCACAGGGTTGGGCGAGCAGGTGCGGTTATTATCTTCTTCACTTCCATTGCACAGCTGAGGAAACCGAGCCAAGAGAGGCTGGGGATCAGGGCGTGGGTTCTGGTTTTGTCAACCCTGGGCCTGGGCCGGTGGGTGCGGTACGCTCTGCTCCTCCCCACAGGGACCGCGAAGGCTTATTACTTGCGCGCACGTGCTCATGCTGAGGTGTGGAACGCAGCAGAGGCCAAGGCTGACCTGGAGAAAGTTCTCGAGCTGGAGCCTTCCATGCGCAGGGCTGTGCTCAGGGAGCTGCAGCTGCTGGAGAGCCGCCTGGCAGACCAGCAGGAGGAGGAGCGGCGGCGCTGCAGGAGCATGCTGGGTTAGGGAGCTGGGCTGAGTGGGGGGCCACTCCACCTGATGCTGGGCCCCAAATGTGGGGTCTCTGGGCCCCCCGGGCAGCCCCCAGTGACCCCTTTGCAGTCTCGCAGCCCGTGGATCACCCGGGCTGCTAACACATAGCCTAGGCATCTCTGGTTCAAGTAACCAGGATTTTGATATCACTTGTAAACAGTTAAGATGATTTACCTTTGAGGACTGGTAATATAGCTCAGTGGTAGAGTGCTTGTTTAGAAAACTTGGGGCCCTTGGGTTTGATCCTCAGTATAAATAAAATAATAAATAAATAAATAAATGTGGTTTTGAGATCAAAGTCATACATGCCTGGAAAAACAAAAGCAATTACAAACGACCCCTCCCTTTCAAAACCAAAGGGCACAGAATAGCACCCATTCCTTAGCCTCGCTAGTGGTTTTAGTCAATCTTCCTTTAAGTTAAAAAAGTTTTATAAAGATTTATTTTTATGTGTGTGTCTGTGTGTATGCCATGTGTGTGCATGTGCCAGAGAAGGCCGGAAGAGGGCGTCAGCTCCCCTGCAGCTTTGGTTACCGGTGGTTATAAGCTACCTCATGTGAATTTCAGGGAGTGAATACTGGTTGTCTATAAGAGTAGCATGTGTTCTTAAGTGCCGAACCATCTCTTCAGCCCCAGATTAAAAATATTTTTAATTAGCAAATGCAATATTAGGTTTCATTATGGTGTTTTCAAGCAAAATCAGCTTTTGTTGATTCTTCTCCCCCTCTCCATCATCGCCCTAGTTTTATTCTTCTGGTAGTTTTTTTCTGTCTCATATAATTTGTCTACACCGAAGCCTCTCAAGGTGTAGGTAAATTTACCTCATGTTATTTACCTGTGCTGATGACAAGGGAGTATGGAGGCATTTGGTGCACGTTCTTTCCCTCTCTACCTTTCTCCTGAGTTTGAATAGCTGCATTTGGATCTCTCTCTCTCTCTCTCTCTCTCTCTCTCTCTCTCTCTCTCTTCTCTCTCCTCTCTCTCTCCTCTCTCTCTCATCTCTCTCCTCTCTCTCTCCTCTCTCTCTCTCATCTCTCTCCTCTCTCTTCTCTCTCTCTCTCTCTCTCTCTCTCTCTCTCTCTCTCTCTCTCCTGATTCTCTTGGTTCTTTTCGTCACTTTGTACAGCAGACATAGAACTTCCCATAATCTAATTGACCTCAGTGCCTGGGGCCTATTTCTGTGTAGGAGGCAGGTGGCAGCACTCTGATCCACAGCCCCTCCTACCTGCCACCTCCCCATCTTCCTGAGGGTGGAGTGTGGAGCGTGCCTTCTTTTTCATCATCCCAGTTGTTACCCTCTACCTTGTAAGCAAATGAGGTCTTGTGTGCTTGGTCCTCAGGTTGACTCAAAAATCTGAAAATCAATAGACGGCATTAACACGATTGTGGCTGAGCTATTTTGCATTCCTCTGCAGGGCTTTGATGGCAGTTCTTCCTAGGTTTCAGTTCTATGACCCAGGTCACTGGAATGAGGGTGCTCCTGGCGTCTAGGGGTTTCAGTGTGGGGCCTCCTCGGAGAAAAGGTGACTCATCTTTGATCAACGGAGATCTGAGTCTACTGGACCATCTGTGTCCATGGCTTGACGAGGCAAGAAGTGGGGGAGGGGCATTCAGGGGAGGACAGAGCCAGGGGCACAGAGAAAAGTATCCTGAGGGCACAGATCCCTGAGCTGGGGAAGGTGGAGCAGGGAGGGAAGACAGTGAGGGGATCTTCACCCATCTTTAAGTAGTGTTGCCCCAGGAGAGACCTGGATGGTGCTCGCAGCCCAGGCTCCTGTGTGGCTGAGTAGCAGATGGGGAGCCTGGCGAGGGCATCTTTAGAGGGCCAGGAATGAGGGCCCCAGACTTCCCTTTAGCGTTCTCTCCTCTATTTTCCTTTCCTTTCCTCTCGTCTCCACTCCATTCCTCTCTCCTTCCTCCTTGGTGTTTTTGAAACAAGGGTATACTGTGTAGCCCAGGCTAGCCTGGAACTCTGAAATCCTCTTGCAGGTGTGCATCACCGCCCTGGACATCCTGTCCATTTATGGGTGTAGTGTTCTCATCGCTTCCTCTTCCTCTGGACACATCAAGGGTCCCACCTCATTTGTCAGTATACAGCCCACAGCTCCCAGCAGGAATAATACCCCAAGGCATCCCAGGACCCTGCTTGGTTCTGCCTGGCCCTCTGGTGTGGGCAGCTCCCCTTCTGATGCTCTGGGACATTTGCAAGCCCTAAGGAGGATTGGGGGCCGGGACACCTATAGAGTGAGGGAAGGCATGCTGGGAAAGAGAGTACAGGAAACCCTTGTCCTATTGTTGCTATTACCCAAAGGCAGTGAAGGACTGGCTATAGATGCACTTTCCAGAAGCCACTGTCTGTCTCACTAGTGTGGAGGGTGGGATATGGGAGTGGTAGAGACACAGGCAGCTTTCCACACAGGGCTGTGGTGCCTGCATGGGCTTCCTTCTGTGCCTTGGATACAATCTCAGTTGAGGTCCTGACTGGTGGGTCTAGACAAGTGTCTGCAGGAAGTCCCTAGGTAGTCTTTAGAGGACTTCTTTGCCAGAATCTAGCTGGAGGGTGCTGTTTCTGAAAGGCCAGCAGGGGGCAGCAGAGAAGCAGCCAGAGGTCCCTGGGCAGGTGCAGGGGATCTGATGTTGCTCTCCACCTGCCCTGACAACACCAGATGCCTGCAGGGTGGCTCGGTCAGGCAGATTGGAGAGAGCCAAGAAGGCATGTAGAACCAGGGAATGGGATCACCAGAAGACAGGGTCTCAGAGATAGCCCAGTTTCCAGTCCCTTGTACAGTCTGGGAAATTGAGGCCCAGGTGGTTCCACAAGGCCTTTGAGTGGAAGGAGAGCATTGTGGACACTTACTTCTCTGAGCATTTCCTTACTGGGTGGTGGGTATGATCTCTGATTTGTAGTCACAACAACTGCCTGACCTCAATTCCTGCTGTCCCTGGAGCAGCATGGGCCCCTCAGGTCTGCACGTGGCTCTGACTCCTTCCCTCCAGGCTCCTGGTGTCCGTCATTCTGTGCTTCTTCCACTCTTCCTCCCACCCCTCCATTCTGCACTCAACTCCTTTGAGTGGTCACCTGTCTTCTTCCAAGACACTGCCTGGTCAATTAGCTGTCAAGTGTCCTCTGAGCTGGAGGGAGGGCAGTGTTGGGGCTGAGGGAGGCCAGCAACATGCTTAAGTGGCACAGTCAGTCAGTAAACACGACTGAGATTTGAGTTCAGCCAATGAGGTAACAAAAGGGGACCAGAAGTGATATTTTCTTATCTTACCCCCATCCTTACCCCCTGCAAGGACCCCTCTCAGTTGACACCAACTGATGCCATTAAGTCCAGAGCTACTTGCCCTGGGAAGGGTACGACCAGAAGTGCCATCTAAGGCTCTGCAGCCCCTGGAGGTGGAACCTGGCAGCTGGGCAAGCATATGCCCAGTGTTTGCTTGTCACAGGCCAAGGCATCCTTTTCTTTGAGAAATAGCTGGACAACTTCAGTCTTGTTTAACTGAGCCAACAGTTCAACAGCTACATACTCTACAAGGGGTCCCAAAGGGTAGTTAAGCACCTTTCAGAGCATCTTCTCCTCACCCAAAGGCAGGCCTCATAACTCCATTTGGCAGAGGAGCCATTACTCAGGGAGCCAGCCAGCCCTCCTATGTCACACAGTTGGAATTGGAAGAGGTCAGAAGTGATGCACCGGGTTAGAGTCCAGCCTTGGAGCCCTTTCACTGACATGTCTGATGATCATGGGGCTGAGTGAGCAGAGCTTAACTTTTTTATTTTCCTGAAATAGGGTCCCATGTATACCAAGCTGGCCTTGAACTCTGGATCTTTCTGTCATCACCTCCCAAGTGCTGGGATTATAGGAATGCACTGCCACGCCCAGCTGACATTTCTTTTAATGTGCTATACAGTCATTGTTCTTGGCAGTAGTTTAGGGTAGGAGGACCTTGAGAGTAAAGGGCTATCTGTACTTTACCTATTGTAATTATTATTGTCACATGACTTCCCCAGAAGCTATAAAGAAATGTCTGTTCATCTCAGATAGAGAGGGTACCAGCGACTAAAGATAGGATTACATCCAAGTCCACCTTGCTTATCCAGTGAGTTTGCTGGGGTTACTAGGGAGCATGGGGGACTCAAAGGTAAGCTGCCCCAATGGGGGGTGTTCGGCTGGGAAACTGATGGCTAGCTTTAACTTCACCACTAAGAGTCCCACCCCAGTCAACTGTTTATCTCATGGAATGTTAGACATAAAATCTGAGGTCCAAGGACCCCACTGCTACTGCACAAAGAACACGTGGACAAAGGGAATTGAACTTGGAAAGGCAGCTTTTACTTTGCAAAAGGGTACATTGCATCATATAGCTCAAGGAAGCATATCCAAGCTGAAGTTTGGAAGGTTTTTTTTTAGTTTTTAAAAAAATTATTTATTTAATAACTATATAATTAGAAGCATTTCATGACAACAGCATTGACATATTCAATAACAATTTCCAGAGCTAAGATGCATCTGTTTCAAGATTGGCTGTAAATTTTTAGGTTTACAGTTGGATTAATATAGTTATACAATACTGTACTCAGTATAAACCCTTTAAGACATAAAATTAAATGAGGTTTTAACCTTTAAAACAGATCTCCATTTCATTATTAAAACACACAGTTTCATACAGAAAAATTCATTTTTAATGCAATTGACACTAAGATGTATGCACAAGAGTACTTTGTTTCCCACCTTTATTGGCTAGTTAAAAAGGAACCAAACAGATTGGTGTTATGGCTCTGATTTCAGCAGACTGCCAGAGAGTGCTGAGTTCTGGTCTCCCCCTGGCCTCCCTCAGGCAGAGGGCCCGAGAACCCAGGGGATTGCCTGAGAGCACCCTGATCCTGCCTCCATATGGTGGTGAGCTTCCCCTAATTGTGCCATACCCATCCACCTACCTGGGATTTTGTGAGGCCCCTTCCAAGGTCCCAGGGCAGATCTGGCTTT